TTTCATCACCAGTAACAATCCGGTCGATAACTTCATCCTTATTCTCCCCACAGAGCTTCAAAAACTGGCGAGAACACTCGACACGCTCGCTCTTTTGAAGTGGCGTGAGCATTCTCGAAACCCATCTTGCACTGACCTTAGTCATCCCAAGATAATGATGTAGGATATTTAAAATGCTGGTTTCGGATACTCCAACCATTGCTGCAAGTTGTTTCTTCTTCAACCGGGCATCTTCCAATATAAGTTTTTCTACTTTTGCTACGATTTCCGGTGTGGTGGCCTCAGTCGGTCGTCCGGAGCGGGGGTCATCTTCAATGGACTCTCTCCCTTGTTTAAAAAGTCCATGCCACTTGTAAACCATGGTTTTACCAGGGGCAGAGTCCGCGTAAACTGATAACAGCTCTTCAAAAATCGTCTGAGCGGATTTTCCTTGCTTGGTGAGGAACTTAATAACGGCGCGGTTTTCCCACAAGTAAGACATCAAACGGATCTCCTCTAGATTCGTTATCGAACACCAGTACATTAGTTCCTGCATATTGATGGATTCTGCATATACTATCATATACATTGTGGAACACAGTGACTTCATACCCCGCTACTTCATGAACTTGGAGGTTGCCTTGATATGTATTGTTTTCTAGAAGTACATTATTTGTACTTCATACCCCGCTACTTCATGAACTTGGAGGTTGCCTTGATATGTATTGTTTTCTAGAAGTACATTATTTGTACTTCATACCCCGCTACTTCATGAACTTGGAGGTTGCCTTGATAGGTATTGTTTTCTAGAAGTACATTATTTGTACTTCATACCCCGCTACTTCATGAACTTGGAGGTTGCCTTGATAGGTATTGTTTTCTAGAAGTACATTATTTGTACTTCATACCCCGCTACTTCATGAACTTGGAGGTTGCCTTGATATGTGTTGTTTTCTAGAAGTACATTATTTGTACTTCATACCCCGCTACTTCATGAACTTGGAGGTTGCCTTGATAGGTATTGTTTTCTAGAAGTACATTATTTGTACTTCATACCCCGCTACTTCATGAACTTGGAGGTTGCCTTGATATGTATTGTTTTCTAGAAGTACATTATTTGTACTTCATACCCCGCTACTTCATGAACTTGGAGGTTGCCTTGATAGGTATTGTTTTCTAGAAGTACATTATTTGTACTTCATACCCCGCTACTTCATGAACTTGGAGGTTGCCTTGATATGTATTGTTTTCTAGAAGTACATTATTTGTACTTCATACCCCGCTACTTCATGAACTTGGAGGTTGCCTTGATAGGTATTGTTTTCTAGAAGTACATTATTTGTACTTCATACCCCGCTACTTCATGAACTTGGAGGATGCCTTGATAGGTATTGTTTTCTAGAAGTACATTATTTGTACTTCATACCCCGCTACTTCATGAACTTGGAGGTTGCCTTGATAGGTATTGTTTTCTAGAAGTACATTATTTGTACTTCATACCCCGCTACTTCATGAACTTGGAGGTTGCCTTGATATGTGTTGTTTTGTAGAAGTACATTATTTGTACTTCATACCCCGCTACTTCATGAACTTGGAGGTTGCCTTGATAGGTATTGTTTTCTAGAAGTACATTATTTGTACTTCATACCCCGCTACTTCATGAACTTGGAGGTTGCCTTGATATGTATTGTTTTCTAGAAGTACATTATTTGTACTTCATACCCCGCTACTTCATGAACTTGGAGGTTGCCTTGATAGGTATTGTTTTCTAGAAGTACATTATTTCCAACTACATAATGGTTTTGTTCAGGTCCTTTGAATTCATTATTATCCATTACTATTCTCTTTCCAGTTATGTTGTAAGCATATCCGTGACCGGGAAAAATATTGTTCTTCAGAATAATTACCGAAGCTTTCAAAATACATGGATTTTCCGCTGCTATAATGTTGAGATGACTCAGTGAATGGTATCTTCCGCCAATGAATATTTTTTTAACTCAGAGCAGTTTAGATATTGAATGATTTCACGTGGAGGCGCCTTCGGTGCATTTCTGTTGTTATCTATAGGATTACCTGCTGAATAAACGCAAAAAATTCCAATATTAGTTATATTTCTTAACAAAATGATGAAAAAAAAAATTATTTTTGATTGCTAATACAATGAAAAGGAATAAAATACAATTTGCTGAGTATCTCCGTCAATATCTCGGAAAAAATATAATAAATTCAGAATGAGTTATTTGTTGGGTTTAATATCGTTTGCGTATCTATATCTATGTAAATAAGGTTCGTTTACAACACATACGCAGCATCTTTCTTTTCTTGGTAGACAATGGCGCGAAAGACTTAAAAGTATTTGTATTTTATTTCAATCAATTTTATTATGGAAAATTAGATTATGAGGCGTGCGCTTCTGGATTTTTCAAACTTTGTTTGATAAATAATGAAAAAAAAAAACCAATTCTTCTTTAGTTTCTTCTTTTAGTTGACGTAGTGTATTTGGTTTATCGATGTAGATACGACTCTTTAAATAACCCCATAAAAAGAAGTCACAGAAATCACATGAATTATCAATGTTGTAGAAAACGTTTGCCCTATGAATCACTTTTAAGAAACTACAATCTACTTAATCCCAAATATAGACGACTGCAACTAGAAGCTGTTTTACTTTATGATATCTGCAATAATAAGTACGATTGCCCAACCATTATTAACCAAATTAAATATTCTGTGCCCTTGCGGGCTCGTATGCGGTCATCCCGCCGTTATCCATTTTTTGCTGTAGCGCGATCCCACACTAATGCTGGTATGCGTTCCCCGTTAAATAGAATAATTAATGCTTATAACAAGAATTTTTACAATGTAGACATTTTTACTAACTGCGGTAACGCTTATAAAAAACAGGTTATTCATATATTAAATCACCAATAGTAATTCCTAGTCTTATATGTATGTGTTTATATTTACTCATATATTGTTTATTATATATTTACATTGAACAAAATGTTTTCATTTATCTTTTCAAATAATAATTAAATTCTTAATTGTTTGAATTAGTTCATATTTAAGTTTTCAACAGGTTCATTTTTATTTTATTTTGTTATGTTTAATGTGACCATCGTTGTTGAGTTTGCAATAACTAATATGTACCTACTAATTAAGCTATAAGAAACTATAATTGTAAACTTGTTTGTGGTTCCAATAAATACAAAAAAAAAATTACCTGAGGAATAAATTAGTTTTAATGAGTACTGCATCTCATGATTCCCAAATAACCTTTAGATTTCCTTATATTATATTGAAGGCAAGAAACATCCAAGCAAATTAAATAAAATGTTTACTTTAACATATTTCCTTTATTTTTAGAACCTAAATATAAACATAATTTATTGATTACATACAATTAAAACTATATTCAAATGTTGCAATGTAAAAAATCTAATCATTATATTTTATTGATCTATTTTTAACCAGTAAATTTTTCCATTGGTTGTTTAAATAATGAAAATTAACAAATAACCATATCTAAGGTGTTTACATATTGTAATCAACAAAACTTGTACTATCATTAATAATTTACATAGTAAAAATATTGCAACTACAGTAGGACCTCGATTATCCGGACTAATTGTTGTCGGTAGGCATCCGGATAATTGAAAGTCCGGATAATCCAACATATGAAGAAAAACGGGCTTTTTACATATGTACATATGTAGTCTGTACCATACATATGTAATGTTAGGTGTTTATTTAAAACAACAAATATATATGAGCGAAAATCAACGTTTATTAAGAAATTGTACATAATGTACGCCGCCCGCACCCCGCGGGAGGTGCGGGTGGCGCGGACCTCACGAGTGGCGTGGCGTTATGCAAGTTCTGACATGTTAATCTATATACATATAATAAAATTGTAGAAAAGTGCTGTCTGTACATTGAAAATAAAAATAAAAAAAATAGCAGGGGTTATTGTTACGTCGATGTCGAACCCAAAAATGTAATTAACTTTTTTTTTGTCTGTTTGTCTGTTCACGCTAATCTCAGAAACGGCTGATCCGAGTTGGATGCGGTTTTCACGAATATATTGTGGTATGCTTCAGTTATGCTTTAGTGTTTGTTTCATGTCAATCGGTTCATAAATAAAAAAGTTATGTCAAAATAACGCTGCTCATAGTCATTATGCCACGCGATCGAAGTCGCGGGCACAGCTAGTGTTAGAATAAACTCGTCGCGATTGGCAGTCCGGATAATCGCGAATTCGGATAACCGAGGTCCGGATAATCGGGGTCCTACTGTATATGTTAATATAAAACTAGCATCAGAAAAACCACATGAGTCCTTGCCCGTTGAATTACAAGGACTCGATTAGCCTATTAGTAATATTATCTAAAGTATTTACATGTCACCATAACTTATATACTGACATACATTATAAAAATTACTATAAATTGTGGTGTCTAAATGTTTAGCCATTTATAAAGTGGGAAAATTGGTGTTATCCTCTAGTTTGGTATCACAAACTTATTAATCATTATTCATATTCAGCGGTGGGTGATTACGAATGATCCTTAATATTAATACTTATTTAATTATATAATATTTTTATAAGAATTATCATCATTAGTTCCGTTTTGAATATTGCATTATTTTTACAAAGTTGTTTGTTCTCACTTAATAGTTGTAATATGTACCGAACAATAACAAGCACTTCTTAATCTTGACTTTTATCATTAACAGACACACCTGTTTTATTTATTCTGATACTATCAGAAAGTGAAAAATTCTTGTAATGGTGTAATTTTGTATCGATAAAAATTTATGGCTCATTTGTTTTCTAAATTAAGAGGTATCAGACTTAATTTATTTACATTTTCTAAGTGAATTAGTTTCTTGTATGTTGTAATAAAAAATTTCAAGGCATCTTCATAATCACCCACTCTTTGTTGAACCTCATAGTTACATAGCCTATTACTCAGTTAGGTACAACTATTGTCAAATTCTTTATTACCTAGGTTTCAATATTATTTAGGTATAGGCGGATGTGGGGGGCTGTTGCTATCACAAAGGCTCACGTAACATCCGCGCCCAACTCGAGCACGTCTTTGACCTTTCAACATATTGGCCGCTTGTTCGATACGCATCACGAGTCTATGCTGGTTTTCTAGACGTTCTAAACAATTCTTACATATAGTTTTTGGCAGTGGATCTGAACGGGACACCTAAAACAATATTAAAAGAAACACAATTAAGTTGAAAGTTTGCATTATAAAAAAAACTTAGATTATCACTAACGTTAATAGAAAGATATCTATTGATCTTTTCAGATATACACAGTCGAATTCCTTCTTCTCCATAAATATGTAACACTACACGATGCATTTCAGAGCACAATCTGCATATAAAACCAGTCAATACTCCTCTATCTAAGCTACCCATTATCACTTTTATAAAACTCAACTATATTATATAAAGACTGTAAAATGTATAATAAAAATTATTGGTTAACAGGAACTCCAACAATTTTATTTGTCTGAATTATGTACACTAGAATGAAACCTTTTTCCTTGTTGTTTTTTCCAAAATACAAACGACACGCACAGATAATTTCCAATGAATGAATGTCAATACGAACACAGACAAGAAAGAAATCAATATATTTGTCATTTAATGTACAAATAAAAATAACAGCTTTTTCGCAGATTTTATTAGAACTTGAATGTTAATATTGACTTGTAATTTTTATTAGTCAATATAAGATTTTTTTATTAGTCAATTATGAATGTAAAAAAATGTCTTTTTAAATGAAAGCACAAAAAACTGAGTATTGTTTTAATTCGTTATATGGCTTAATCTTTAAAAATTATGTATTTAGGAATTTAATGAATCCCTATAATTGCTTATAGAAAAATTGTATGACACAAGCGAAATTTATATGTAAATATCTAATAACAACAATTAGTATAAATAACGCTGTTAGTGTTAGTGTACATTGTTTCCCTTATTTATATTTTTTCTGAAATTTAAATACATCATCTAATTTGGAGAGTTTTGGTTATAAAAAAAATACATTAATTACTTTAAGAAAAACTGTTTAATTCATCCAATAATGTTTTACATTTATCTCTTAATATTTTAACAGCTTCAACAAATATGACGTTCGGAGGCATAGCACCCACTGACTCCACATTAACTGTAATAAAAAGATTATATTAGAAACTCCATAGTCACCTTGTTTAAATTAAAGAAAAATAAACAAAACATACATATAAAATGGTCACGTATTCTACTCAATATCACGGCGTCTTTTATACAGTCATATCTGTAAGTATTTCTGCTGCAGCTATCATATCTGGCGTCCCTCACAAAAGCTTTGCCATCAGAATCCAGGCCGATGACTCCAGGTGAAAAGCAGCTCTGTAGCAAAGTCGCTTCACTTCCATCCACTTCACGAGTTAGAGTTACTTCAGGAAGTAGACGGTAGGAGGCAGTTGCTAAAAATTTATTGTACATACTTATTATTTAAATATCAATTACTAGATTGATTATTGGCTCTGTATTATATGTTGCCTCCTTGTAAAGGCAAAAAAGTAATTATATGAAAAAAAGTCTAATAATAAGTGTGGACTATTTATACTGTCAAAAATATCTATCGAGCCTATCACAAGTCATTTATTGCTATTAGTCTAACATGTATACATAATTATAGATATAATTATTTGCATTTTCATAGAAACTAAAGTTAATCTTATCCCACAATACTGACCGACTGGTGAGAACTTGGCATGATCCTTGCCGATGCCTTTAACAGCCACCAGATGCATGTCCAGTTCATGACCGGGTCTCATTTTGGATATAAGGATGTCATCGTCTACCGGACCAACATCAGCTTCTTTGTGGATTGACGCCTGATTTCCAATGGGATGCCATTTTATTGAAGACGAGTACACTAGAAATTAAGAATGGTATATATTTTATGTATAGTGGGAATACATAATAGTTATTAAATAATATTAATCTATGAGTTTTGTATGTATTTATTTAAATAAACTTATATTTTCAGATATCTAAGCTTTTTCTTATTGTTATGAACTACATACTCCTCATATTTCTATTACTTGGCAGCAACCATGATCACATCATAGTTGCTGGAAAGTAACCAAAATGTCAGGTGTATGTAGTTAAAAATAATGAAAATGAATAAATTATTTAAATCTATAAAAGTAGAAAAACATAAAGTATGCATAATGTTAGATAAAATTTCTTTACATTAAAAGAGGTATTGCATATACAATCATTATTGCAAACAAATGAATTAATGAAAATATATCTACACTATACAGTAGGACCTCGATTATCCGGACTAATTGTTGTCGGTAGGCATCCGGATAATTGAAAGTCCGGATAATCCAATATATGAAGAAAAACGGGCTTTTTGCATATGTACATATGTAGTCTGTACCATACATATGTAATGTTAGGTGTTTATTTAAAACAACAAATACATATGAGCGAAAATTAACGTTTATTAATAAATTGTACATAATGTTATAAGCAGGGCCCGGATTAATATGTAAAAACATATTTTTAATTTACGCGATTTGCGGTCTAGAATGTGTTTTTTATATGGATTGTCATATTTAGACTGTGAAAAACCAACTTTTATTTTACAAGAAAATGTCACAATCATCCATATATTCACAAAAAACATAAAAAATAAAGGATTTAAAACGCTAAAAAAATTAACAAAATTTTGTGCGAAAGTTTCGAGGGCTGTAGACATGGCTTACACAATTACTGAGTTAAGTATGCTTAAGTATGCATCCATCACGTCATGTGAGTAGATCGATCCCGGGGAACGAGTCCGGACCGGGATCGGGTGGATAGTTGGCGACGATCTGCGCGGTCGTCCTTGTTCCATCGGTGGAGGCAAAGGCTCTCTGAGCCAGTGGCCGGGTTGCGAACCGTGGAGGCTATTCGCCCGCTCCTCATGGAGTGGGTGGACCGCCGACACGGATCCTTGACCTTCCGGCTGGTGCAGATCCTCTCGGGGCACGGTTGCTTCGGGAGGTATTTGTGCCACATAGTCGGGAGAGAGCCGACAGCGACGTGTCACCACTGCAGTCGCGTGGAAGACACCGCTGACCACACCTTGATGGAATGTCCAGCGTGGATATCCGAGCGTAGCCAACTCATCCGCGTGGTTGGCGCAGACCTTTCGTTGCCGGCAGTGGTCCAGGCCATGGTCGGCAGCGAGAGGGCATGGCAGGCGGTGGCCGACTTCAGCGAGAGAGTCATCTTGCAGAAGGAGGCTGCTGAACGAGTGAGGGAAGACGACCCCTCCTCGGCGCCGCTGCGCCGACGAAGGCTGGGTCGAAGGCAGCGGGCTTATGCTCGCGACCTGCCTCCCCAGTGAGGAAGCCTCCGGGCGTCGGTGGGGAACCGGCGTCCGGGTAACATAGGCTAGAGGAAGAGCGGCGTGTTTGGCGTTCCCGGCACGCTGCTCTTGAGTCGGAGGGGTGGTGTGGTCAGCCACTGATACCCCTGCCGAAGGCGGAGTCCCTTTGGGACTCGTGCGTAGTGAGCGGAAGTATGGCTTGCCGTTCCCGCTCACTAGTCTACGCACAGCGCAGAGAACGCCGAGGAGTTTAGTGGGTGGAAATCCCACACGCCCCCGTCGTGTTTTCCCCCGCGGCGGGAAGTCTTTGAAAGATTCTCCTCGTTAAAAAAAAAAAAAAACGTCATGTGAGTAGAGAGATCATACAACAAATATAAGGCTATATGTCGACTAAATGGTCAGTTTTCATTTTGATAATTTAAAGAAGGACGTCATTGTGTATTGCAACCGATTTGATAAAGCTAGTGTAATGGAAGTTGAATAAATTTGTTATTTTTTGTTGAAATAAATATTTCACTCCTTTTTTTCATCGTTTTTTAAATGTTTCTTAACGTTGTACGTCACGAGTGACCCTTTCTTATAGTAAAACAATTATGAAATTATTTAATTTTATACTCCATATTTTTTGATTTTTCGTCCGTATTTTATGTACATATTTTAGATTTTTTAATACATATTTATCCGCGCCCTAGTTATAAGTGGCGTGGCGTTATGCAATTTCTGACATGTTAATGTTAGAATGAACTCGTCGCGATTCTCAGTCCGGATAATCGCGAATTCGGATAACCGAGGTCCGGATAATCGGGGTCCTACTGTAATATATTTGTAATGATATAAAATTATGGTGTATAATAGTAGGCCAGATATTTTTATGTTCATATTATGTATTAATGGTTACTTAGGCTATTATTCACATAATATCTGAGAGACAATGTTGTTAAAATGCTTATATGTATATATCTATACATACCACTATGATTTTCATACAAGTCCTCAGCACGGAAAGAGTCTTTGGGTCCATATTTATTATTTGTGCATTTTATTTTTAGAGAAAATTCTAAAGTATCAAACTCAGTCCCTTCTTCAGCATCTGAAAGAGATGATTTCAGAAATGGTCTTTTAGTAATGAGATCTAAGACTTTCACAAGTACACATTGAAAAAAAACAAATATTTTTTGCTTTTACTATGTTTTATAATTATTTTTCTTATCTTGTATACCTGTGATCACATTTGCTGCAAAGTAACTAAAACATCAGGTGTATGTGTTTAAAATAATAATAAATGAGTACATAGTAAATCTGAAGAATATTAGTTTTATTTCAATACCTTTAAATAATTTAAGAAATTTGTTGTAACTCACTTTCAGGACGAAATTCAAATAGCCGCGGGTCTGCCTTCAGTGGAATCAATCCCAATCTGTGTGCAAGCACTTCGTCCTGTATAATGGATGTGTTATTTTTTATCATCACCTTCTCAATTGCCATACTGGGTACCTCACTCAACATGAGCCTTCGAAAAGCATTAGCGAATGCGGGTTGAATGCCGATTAAATCAAATTCCATTTCAGTATTATCCATTCGGACTATAACGATGCGAAATTTCTTTGTGAATTTCTTGAAATTCCATTTTTCGTCTGCCATTCCGTAGTCGTCGGGTGCATTCTGAAATTTTAAAATGCTTATTCATTAAGTATACAGAAGTGGATGTATGAAATTTATTTTCATAAAATAAGATTTCTGTAACAAAAAAGTATATCATAATACAGCTGCGTGCAAAATTATTAGGCACCCCTATTGTTAGTCACTATCTCATTATATTGCGGTCAAGTTTGTGTTTTATGGTTTAGCTATTGTATTAGCGGCAATTTTTAACCAAATTAAGATAAAAGAAAATATTTATGACATCCAGGTGTGCTCCTAATTGGTGTTTCTTCGAATTTGCTTTTTTTGCGTTTCGGGTTATAGTGTGTTATCAGTGCTTGCAGTGAAGATACACGTCTTCTACGCAACTATTCCTATCACAATTCTAAAGACTAACATTTAACGTGTTAATCATGCCGAAAAAATCTGAACTTTGTGCTGAACAGCGTCTAAGAATTAAGATTTTACATGAACAAGGCATGTCTCAGGTTAAAATAGCCCGAGAAGTGAAGTGCTCGCGATGTGCAGTTCAATATGCTATAAATCGCTTCAAAGAGACTGGCACCCATGAAAATAGACCAAGAACAGGCAGAAGAAAAGTTACTACTGAACGGGAAGATCGATTGTTGATTAGGCAGTCTCTACAAAACAGGAAAAAAACTGCTTCAGAGCTCGCTGCAGCATTATCTGAGGCAAAAGGCAGCTCAGTGAGTGTTTATACTGTGAGAAGAAGACTTCTTAAAGCTGGATTAAAAGGATGTAAAGCAAGGAAGAAGCCGTGGCTGTCAGAACACAATAAGAAAAATCGGTTGGAGTGGGCACTCAAACATAGAGATTGGTCAGTGGAAGATTGGTCCAACATACTGTGGTCAGACGAATCTAACTTTGAGGTATTGTTATTTATTTTATGTACAATATTAAAACACATAAATGTTTTTAAAAAACCGTACTGCAAGAAAAATAATAACTTTGAAAATAAATGTGTTTTTTTTCCTTTGGCATAGGTGTTTGGAACACCCGGTGTGACTTATGTTAGGCGAAGGGTTGGCGAAGAATACAACCCAGAATGTGTGGTTCCCACTGTTAAGCATGGTGGAGGCTCAATAATGATCTGGGGCTGCATGGCTGCCGACGGAGTGGGCGAAATGGTATTGTGTGAGGGACGAATGAATAGTGTTAAATACACTGAAGTTCTGGAAACAGCACTAGCAACGTCGATAACGCAAATTTTCGGTGATACAAACACCGATGGCCTGAAATTTCAGCAAGACAACGCCACTTGCCACAAGTCCGCGCATACCATGAAGTGGTTTGCTGAAAATCATATTGATCTTTTGGACTGGCCACCACAATCACCAGACCTCAACCCGATTGAGCATATTTGGTCCATTTTAAAGAAAAATATCCGCAGGCACTCGATTAGCAATAAACAAGCTCTATTGGCCGCGTTACAGCAGGAATGGAAAAATATATCAAGAGAAGAATGTTTCAGGCTGGTAGAGTCAATGCCAAAAAGAGTGGCTGCGGTTATTAAGTCAAAAGGTGGACCTACAAAATATTAATTATTTTCTTAAAATAAACCATTGTAATCATAAATGCAGTTTTATTTAGACTCGCTATGCTAAAACACCCTAAAACTTGTCTTACTGTAGGGTGCCTAATACTTTTGCCCGTGGCTGTATTAATATCTAATATTTATCTATATAATAATTTATACCTTGACTCGAAATTCTTCTAAAAAAACTCTTGGCTTTTCTTCCAGTTTCGGCATTTTAAACGATTTTCTGTTTTTAATCAAACAACTCGACAAAAACACAACTAGCAATAATAAAAAAACAACTACAATTTTTGTGTGAATATACTTTGTTTTATGTGTAAAAAGCACAAAATTTTAAATAAATTAATGCACTATCTTCAACATTTTGTAAAGCACGTTGTATTATGTTATGACAGAAAATGACAATCTCTAAACTGACAATTCTAATCGGCCAATGAACGTTCCATTTTTCCTTCCACGAAAAGAAGTCAGAACCACAAAAAAATTGAAAAAGATATAAAATGAATTTAAATTTAAAAGTTATACAGATTTTTTTTAAGTGTATATAATTAATCTATAAAAAATGGATAGGTGTTTACATTATTCTACGCTTAAGCTAACGCTTGCTTATTTATAGGAATATCAATATCATAAAACTTTGATGTACCTGCGGAATAAAACTTCGATATTTCTTTACAATAACTGAAAATAATATTTTTTAGAGCAATTAGATTATTTTAACCTTTCCGATGTAATGCTTGGTTAGTTACGTTTTGAGCCAAATACGATGAGCTCAGGTTTTTATTGGATTGCTTGCTTAGAATAAGGCGGCCAACCGTCCCGCATTCTGCAGGACAGTCCCGCAATTCTAGACGAAATCCCGCTTTGAAATTTTTAGTAAAATAATCCCGCAAAACGTTGTATGCGTCCCGCATGTCCCGCATCCCTATTTTTCTACCACACTTCTACACAACACCCATACCACGGTCAACAGTGTAGGAACACAGATTACCTATAATAGGGACAAGCGTATCGCGCCCGCGCTAATCTCGTTTTCTTTCTTTCTTCTGAACTCATGACGCGTAAGAGAGTACATACTTAAATTTAATATGGGCAGTTGAAAAGAATCCCTGACACCCCCCCCCCCCCCCGCCATTCACGAAATGTTAAGTCCCGCATTCAGTTTTCCGAAAGTTGGCCGCCTTAGCTTAGAAAAGCAGGGTAGCGGGAAACGAAGAAGTGTCCTCATATGGCCTTCCTCAGACAGCAAGGTCCCAAAATGTTTGCTAGCCATGGAATTCCGTTAGTCACTTGTTTATGATACCAGGGTGGTTACATCTTGGTGATTGGTGATAGTATGAGAGGGATGTTGATCTTTGGAAGCTTTGGAGTGTCCTTTAAGTTTTCAAATCAATGTCCACTGGGTCAGAGAGTCTAGCAACATAGCTAATATTTTTGAAATATTACAAATTCATAATAACAAACTCATTTTGCTAAATAAGAGATGTTAACTAGCAATGTCTATCTATCACTCTAGCATCGATGTTTTGTTTAGATTTTTTTTAACAGGCAACATTATACGGTTTATGGTGAAATGAATAATGTTACATATACTTGCTGTTTCTCTGACGGTGACGCTGTAAAAGCATCACTGCTAACAACAATACACATTTAAAAAAAGGTATATTTTCTACCAAGACATACTTATTCATTCTTCTCTAAATAAAATATTAGACACATCGCTTCCAAAAAGAGGATATTTTCTTTGATATTAAACTTCATTGTGAACCTCAATGGAGGTAATAGCAATTAATAATATTAATGTAAATACACATAACTACTTATCTAACTATTTTTAGAATATTAGATATTATTTTTCTTTTGTATGTAATGAGTTAGCAAAGTGTATGTAATGCATTAGCAATTGATAATGTGACAGAGTGTACACTGTTGTTAAAAAAACGAATAGACTAAATATATGTAGACATCTTTACTATTATTTCATTCTTACTATTACATTATTCGCGTCGTTTAAATAATTATTTACTATAGTTAAATACGAATAATATACGAATTGTTCAAGTGTATATGAAATCTAAACATTAATTCAAAATTACCGATTAATAATGTAATTTTCTTTACTTACTTATTAAGGTAAAAAAATAAAAGTTATTATTATTTTTTATATAATAGACAATCACAAAATTAAATGTTATTCTTCCAAAACTTAGTGTTTAATTATACTTTTATAATTAACACAACAAAGTCTTTATAAAGTTTAAATGTATATATGTTTTATTTAAGACTATAATAAGTAAATAAATTCTAAATATACATCATTACCGGTCGTTAAGACTCCATCTTGAGATAAAACTAATATTTTGCAGATTTACTAGGCGTTTATAATTATTCTACCAACATACTCCCGACGTTTCGGTTATTTTGCAGCAACCGCGATCACTGCAGACGAGACATGTCCATTTTGTGCTCATTATGGGCCAAACAGCGGTTGCCGTTGCCTATGGTGGGTGACAAGTGAGGAGGAGCATTTGCCTCCTTCTACGAAGTCGCTTGACGCAAAAGGAAAAGGTGGAGAGAGAACGAGAGATCAAACTTTTGGCTCTTTCACTCCACAGGCTAAGAAAAACGCGTGTAGAAACTATGTATATTCACCTCACTGCTCTTTCCCCTGATTAAAAAAAGTTTACATCATTTCATTACATACGAATTATTTCTGTTTTAAATTTCATATCATTCTACGTTAGTTACTAAATGAGAAACGTAAAACACTTCGTATAACGTGTGACACGAACTTGTAATAAGCATAACGTTCTGTCTACTCACTATTGTAGTTACGTTAATATTAACCAATCGTTTTACATCTCACAACTGATTGTAGCTCCAGCTAGTTTTATGAATTCTTGCAATGGTTATAAATACTAAATATAGTTATGTACGAAAATTATGCTAATTAAATTCGTTACGGACTTTGCAAGCTGTTAGGTCATAAGTCATTAACATTTTAACATTTATTTTTATATTAATGTAACTATTTCTTATTAAGATTGAGGTGTACAACGTTTTGAGAAAAGGGAATGTATATAATTGTTCCAATAAGAACTATTTTAACGTGTATTTGATCTTTGGTTTTATTTCTTCTATAATATTAAAAAGCACCGTTCTTAAGACAGACGTAACTTTTGATGTGGATCTGTAATTTTCCTTTGATGGCATCAAAAAGAATAGTAAAAGCAGGATTTGTTTAAATATATAATTAAATATAGTGTTCTTATAATTTTAGTGAAGTGTCATGGAGGTGAAGTCTTTTTTTTAATTTAACACTTAAAGAGGGCAAGCTCATTGTAGCAATAAACTGCAGCGAAAGTATTGGTGTCCGCCAAATGATAATCTGTATCAATAGCGGCCAGTACTTATGCAACCAGAAGGCCCAAGGCGCCATTTGCCAGCCCCAGCCTCAGTTGAGGGACCACACTCATAGCTGCGACCCGTAAAAAGTGCCATTATTATTGTGAACTGTGATATACGTGAGAGAAAATGAAGCTTCACTTAATACTTGTTGTGGCGGTTGGATTATTTTATTCTGGCAAGTATACCCATTATAAATATTAGTGGTATAAAAACTTTTTTGATGCACTGGAAAATTTGTTTTAATCACAATCGAAAGGTTTTATTCCGGTTTATTATAAATGGTTTATTTTAAATTTAATTAAATAAACTTAAAAATAATATTCATAAATGTAACAAATGCATAAAATAATTATAGTTTTTATACACAAATATTTTCCAGTTTATGTTTATGATATAAATTAGGGGTTACCTAATAGTTAAAATATATCGTATGTAAATGTAATTTAAATTATCGGTTCGGTTTTAACGACTTTTTTCTCTGATTATTTTTCTCAAATAGTAAAAGCGCGGTTGATCTTTCATAAATTATTTTTTACTTTTGTAAAAAATACATAGATTGAAAACACTAACAGTTCAGTGCTTTAAATTATTCTTTTTCGAAGTATATATATAGTTTTTGAATAACCTTTTATATATATTGATTACCTTCAATGAATTTGATTGGATGTACTTGACATAATATGTAATATTGACAAAAGTAATCGATTATTTTAAAAAATTAGATAAGTTTTCCGGCTCTACTTTTAGCTTTTAGACTTTTAGCTTCTATCAACGGAGGCTTAAATATGTTTCATTATAAACTGTCTACTGGAGCTGTGAATATCCACAGATATTTTCAGCTAAAAAATTAGTTAAGATATAAATTTGGCTAAAATTCAATCAAAACTTCTATTCATGCTATATGGTCTCAAAATAGTGTTCGGCATAACGTACAAATACAAAAAAAAAAACAATGACAACACTTTCACATTTACGCTATTAAAGTACCAGAATTATTTTAGTGAGGTTTGAGAATGGATGGTGGAAAATTTTGGTTTTAATGAAAGGTATTTTTATATTAACCATTGTCCGTTGGTCTGTGATCTACCACAGATAATAAATAAATAAAGATTGTGATAGATTAACAAATTCATATTAGGTTCATAGACTTGAATAAAATTTGCTCATTTTGAGAAGAATTTACGATCATCATAGTGCAGCATCTATTAGTAAGTATGTGCAGTATATAAATGTTGAAAGTATTGGCTATGCAATTTTTTTGTACTTATAAAATTGTGAATTAAGGAATGAAGTCATATTGAAATCCTAGTAATGTCCATCTACCAATGAATGTTTAACTCTTTTTTGTACAAATACCTATACATTTCATTTTAGTTTAAATTTCTCATGTACAACATGTGCTATATTAGTACCGCCATTATAATGTTTTAGGCCTATGTATCTTCTATATATACAAAAGAAAATCGTGCTTGTTACACTATTTATTACTCTAGAACGGCTGTACAGATTTGGCGGGAATTTGTAGGGACGTAGCTTTGAACGAGATGACGGACATAGGATACTTTTGAATACGTACTTACGTCATGAAATCCGAAAACTGTTTAATTACTGCCTTTAAAGCGAAACAATTCACCTGGTCAGCTATACATTTCTAATTCTGAAACTAACACAGACCAAGTCGCTGGCAGAAACTAGTTATAATTATATATTAAACGAAATTCTCAGATTGTTTAACCTTTTTGTAATTATCCGTAATATGTTTCTGTATTTGGAAATACGAAATGTAACAGACCGGTCTCGCCGTA